TCTGATTCCTTTCAGCAGTAGGCATCTTGCTTAGAAGAAAGCCATGTTTCTTGTTTTCCTCTCTTCTCATGGTGTGTGTGTATTTGCAGAGCCTCTGTGGAGATCTTCCCTTTCACTTCTTGCTTTCATGATGATTATGAGCTTAGAGTGAAACTGATCTAGAACCAGAGGAAGTAAGCAGGAGCAGGGTAAGTTTTGGTCCAGCAAAACCAGCTCTCACCACTGCTTCTTTGTGTTTGCTTTGGGTGTCTCTCTGAGAAGTTGAGAAACTCCAACTGACATGTTCTAGTTCATCTGTTTCCTAAACTTGTGAGATTTCCTCAAACCCATTGATCAAAATGAAGGTCTGTAATTAAGATTTCAGAGAAAGAAAACACTATAGAATCTTAGAGCTGATTGGGACTTTACAGACATTCATTTTGCAAATCAGCATCCTTTCTCATTAAAGGTTACCCTGGCAAAAGCTGAGACTAGAACTGAGGCCACAGGGACTGTTTGTCTGACTATTGTATTTATTGCCTTTCTTGGATCCAACCCTGCATGGATTAATTTTCCTTATATAGTGTTTTCACTATTGTTAGATTTTCTGTGCAAAGATCAAAGTTCTTATTTCTCAATATAAGACCTTTAATATACAAGCTCATTGGATTTTCCAAACCTTTTTAACCCCACGTATTCTTGAGTCCCTCATTTTAGCACAAGTGATCTGCTCCCTGTCTCTCAGAAAATACCTTGTTTCTTCCTCACCGTATTTCCAGGCATTCTCCTTGTTGCTCCACTCATGTTTTACAGCCACCCAGCTCCCCAAGTCCTTGTTAAGGACGTCCCCTACCAAGCCTGTGCTAGCTTCTATGACATATCCCAGTTTTTTTTTTTCAATTTTATGTTTTATGCTTTGTGTTTTCTCTTTTCACATATATAAATATATTTCCCTCAGGTAGGCTTTAAGCTTCCTGACTACAGGATGAGAATCTGCTTCATCTGGAGCTCCAGTGCCAGACAAATGAATTTATTCATTTATTAAGTTAACAGACATTTTTATTGAGTGCTTATCATGTGTTCGGCCCTGGGATTGGAGAATGATAATTACTTACCCTCTCAATGATTCAAGTACTTAGTTTGGGATACAGGCAAGCAGGAAGGCAGAGTGAGGTATGATGAGTATGCTGATGGCAGTATTCCAGGTGCTGTGGGAGTGCGGTAAATGGGTATATAACTTGAACTGGAGGATAGAGAACATGAATTATGTCCTTAAGGACTAGTAGGAAGCGATGCTCAGGATCTAAATGATGCATCGTAGATGAGACATCACTTTTAATTGAGGGTTAGCTTGGTTGAAAAGGAACAGAGATAAAACCCAAAGACCCAGCAGAATTTCCAGCAGAATGTAAATGCTGAGAAATGACCTCAGAGGGAACATAAAGCTGTTACAATTATGGTAGAAGTTATGATTAAGATCTATTGTTGAAGAAAGTTTCATATTTGGATGACTTTACATTGAATTCTGATAAACATTTAAAGATCACAGAATTCCAAATTTCATCATTAAACTAATACAAAGAGTAGAATAGGATGTAGAACCCCCATATCAAAACCTGATAGTCATAGGCAAAACAAGTAAAGAAAAAAACACTTTAGAAAAAAAACAAGTAGTTATGATTATATGCACAAAAATTCTATATAAAATCACATATTTAATTCATCAGTATATCAAAACACTACAACTGTGACTGAGAAGGATGTTTTCTCTAAAAGTGCAGAGCAGATTCAATATCTGGAAATCTCACAACATGGTTCATTACATTTCTAAATTAAGGGAGGGAAAAAGAAATGATTGTATCAGTGGATATTAAGGAGGAAGATAGATTCCAGAAGGAATGAGTAACCAAGGAGATAAGCATCCGTTCACTCACCCATTCATGCATAACATGTTTTTCTAAGGGCTTCCTAGCCAGGCACTGTGCTGGTACCATGAGCCCACTGCGGAGCTTCCAGCATATTGAAGCAGTTAGGTAGGTGAATACATAGCTTTTGTATAGACTGTTATAAGTATGAAACAAATTCTAGAAAAGCATGGAATTAAGTACCCATTTTAGGGGGTGTTAGGGAAATGTTTACAGCATCAGAGACATTTGAGCCTGGTCAAAACTTAAAAAAAAAAGGCTCAGTGGAAAGTGAAGGGAGAGAAATGGCATTGTAGGTGGTGGGCACAGCATGAGCAAGGGTTGAGGGTCATGAAAATTTGTTATAAATCCTGGGAATGGGGTCCCCAGGCCACTGTTGGCATACAGAAGAATGATACGAGAAGATCTTGTGAAGATCACCTGCAAACACATACTTGGCCAGGCCCTGGCATTCTGAGGAGGTGGGGCCAGAAGTGCTTCCATGGGGAGGGCAGTGATCGTATAGTAGACATTGCTGGAATAGCTGGAAAGATGATGGGGTCAGTGAATTGCATATAGATGCTTAAGTTGGCATTTCTCATCCTTGCCCAGAAGGATTCCACTGTCAATTGGCAATGTAAGATTGCTCTGGAAAAGTACCTCTTTGCTTTAGAAATCGGTAGGTTTCTATTTTGGAATAACTTCAGATTTATAGAGAAGTTGCAAGGATAATATTAACCCATTTTTTTTAAAGAGGTGCAAATAACATTTGTACTACAAATGTGCATAGTGCATTAACATTTTCAAATCTTTATTTTATCCTACTTGTTTCTTACTTATGTTCACTTTAGTCATGTTGAAAGCAGAACAAGACACTTTTATCCCCTTTTAGTAGAAGACTGAGAATAAATTTCAGAAATAAAAAACAAAAAACAAACCAAACCAAAATTAGTATTTTTCAACCCCTAGAGATAGGCTTGGTTTTGGTATTGACTCTTTTTTTTTTTTTTTTTTAATTCTCAAATGATTCTAATTGTCCAGCTAGGTTAAAAAACTGTCAGTAAGCCAGACATTCATGGTTGTTTTTCTCTACTGGTTTTGTGCTAGGCTTTGTAATGGTGGTTTAGGGATGTGTAAAATGTGCTCCCTGCCCTTTCAAGGAACTCACAGTTTAGTAAATACACACACCCCCACACACCCACACCCACACACACACACACAGCTTGTGCACAGGTTGGGGAGGGGGGTGCGAGTAAAAGAAAGGCCCTGCAACCAGACTGAAAAGCCACTGTCACCACTGGCTTCAGCAACAACAGCCTCCTGATTCCCAATTTAGAGTCCTCTCATTGATCACTTCATCTTCTTTCATTGAGAAAATCATACTTCTAACAGGTTCCCCCCACCCCCACTTTGAATAGCCGTTTACAGGAGGGAATACTCTTTAATATTGCTATCTCACTAGTTGCCATAAAAATTCTGAGGAGGCGTTGAGGAGGACAGGGGTTTTGTCTTAATTTTGAGGGAGTGGAGGTACCTGAGGCACCTGACAGGGACCTGGGGCTGCTCAACATTGTGTCACTCATGCTGTGTGACCTGATGCTAACACCCTGGTGACACTGTGCCCCCCCTCCCCCCTTCCCTCCATCTCTCCATGGCCATGCCACGTGCTGAGGCTTTTATTTTTTCCGGCATTTCCAGTGCTCTTTGTCTTTACAGACATCTGGAGATAATCATGTAGCCCTCTCAAGTAATTCAGTTCGATTAATAAATTACCGGGTGGATTTGGGGCTGGAACGGGTACAGGGAGCCTTCCGGGCCTCCCCGTGCTGGAGAGCTCTTGCAATCAGACTTGAAGAGCCCTCCTCAGCAGCAGTCGCAGAGGCTCAACCCCAGCCTGCAGGCTGCCTGCAGGGGTGATTGGCTCACCTTGACATGCAAGACACCATTTTGCTTTCCTCACATAGTGTATTTTAACATGATTAGAATAGCGACTAGGCTGGGCTAGTTTGTCGCCCTTCTAGTTAAGTTTTTCATAAAGGTCTAGTATGGTCTCAGCTCAGCATAGCTCCAGATGGGACATTTCTTTGTCAAGTAGGGCTGCCCAGTACATTACAGGCAGCAAACATTCTAGCCCCGGGCCACTAAATGCCAGCAGTATCCCAGGCAGAGTGGCAAGCGGTGTGTTCTCCTCCCCTCAATTTCTAAGTGCCCCTTGGTGGGGAGCAGAACTGCTCCTGCCAGAGGCTCCATTTTAAAGTCTCCTGCCATGCACCTGCTATGCCCTTGTTTCAAGAATAAACTCTTTGATGATTCCTTAATACCTTAATAAATTTGAACTCCTCAAGCTTGCATGCAAAGCTGTTTGTGCTTTGGTTCCATCCGACATTTTTGTTCTTTCGCCAGCTGCTTTCCTTCATACCCCCACCCAGCCACACTCAACGGAAGTGATGTGTATGTTTCTGTGCATGTAACTCTGATAACGTTGTTTAGGCCCAACCTCTTCTCAGCACTCAAGGTTCCCTCTGAAGGTCTCCTCATTGATGAGGTCTTCTTAGTTCTGCTGCTACCACGAAGTGACTTGACCTTTTTCTGCATCCCAGACATACTTTTTAAAAACCTCGCTTAGATAACTGATCATTTCATTTAGGTAACTTATCCCCTCATTTAGGTAATGTATCATTATTTAATCGGTGTGATAATTATTTTATTAGATTATTAATACAACTGAAGCTTTTCCAAAACTTAACAGTATAAGGTTTTCCTACCACAGAAACTGTTTCAGGTCAGAGATCATTTCTTATTTGTATTGATTTCCTGAGAGTGCTAGGCACCAGCATAGGGAACTGTTAGAAGAGAGGTATTCAAGATTGATTGTGGGGAGTGTTCAGTTTTTCTCTTCCTCCTCTTCCTCCTCTTCCTCTTCCTCCTCTTCTTCCTCCTCCTCTTCCCCCCTTCATTCTTCCTTCTTCCTTCATCCATCTTCTCTCTTCTTCTCAGAGAGCTTTTTCAAAATTTCATTAAGTGTGGATTAAGATAAAAAAATAATGAAGTGAGCTATGTTGCCTCCACTTTCATGCTTCCATAAAAACAATCATGTTTCTTTCTTTTTAATTCCAGATTCTAACAATGTCTCACCCATCTTGGCTACCACCCAAAAGCACTGGTGAGCCCCTTGGCCATGTACCTGCACGGATGGAGACCACCCATTCCTTTGGGACTCCCAGCATTTCAGTGTCCACACAACAGCCACCTAAGAAGTTTGCACCAGTAGTTGCTCCAAAGCCTAAGTACAACCCATACAAGCAGCCTGGAGGTGAAGGTATGTGTGCGGAGTTCAGAGTTGGGTGCCCAAAGTGGGAGAGTTCGATACAGTAAAAGTGATGTACAGCCCGGTGTTATGTTGGAGAAGGGTAGCTCAAGAATTTGTAGTGTGGTTATCATAGTTTATAGACTATCAGAGGATAAAGAACACCTAGAAACCACCTACACCAACCCTTTCTTTAGGGATAGAGAGATTGAGGCGTTTGGGGGATTATATGGCTATGGTTACACAGTGAATTAGGGCTAGAGCCAAAACTACAATTCTGGCCTCTTCATTTATAGCTCACTGTCCTTTTGGTGTATAATCCTGCGCCCCATCCCACTCTCATGTGGAAGCGTGCCTGTCACCCAGTGGACTCCTCTTGCCACCAGACAAGTGTCCCGAAATGCTGCCGAGCACTGGTCTGGTGGGAAACCCATGCAAAATGAACCTGATAAGGCACCTGGAACTGTTTTGCCTGCCTTTGTTGGTGCTCACAGACAAATTTGAGTAAAGCCTCCATTCAATTTATATCCAATGGAGTATGAGGATCTACGTAGCTCAGCATCTCAGGCCTATACATGTATGCATAATCACACTGAACCCCGCAGCCTGTATAAAGGCTGTCATACTCTTTGGCGGAAGTGGTTCCATATCGTTGCCAGTCAATGTCAGCTGTTGATCCAAACCTATGAAACGATACTGTTAACAAACATGAACTTTAGACTTCTGGGAGCTGAGAGAGAGGAGGAAGTGAACGGAGATGCAGTCCTCCTTTCTCTATTTTCTCTCCCCGGTCCTACTGTAAAAAAAACAAAACAAAAAAATCCTTATTCTCTCCAGGATGTTTCCAATTCCTTCTTGGATGACATTAGTATTTTTGCTTCAGATACTTTGTGTGAGAGTGTTTCACATGGTGTGCCATAGTGCAGCCTCTCTCTTTGCTTTCTAGCCCTCTCCTCCCCCAGTAAACACTTTCTAGTCTGTTAGTATTTTAGGACTGGAGTCAGAGTTCTCACCCAGATGCCTAGCTGTGTTAGGTGGCTGGATGTTTAGGCAGGTGTAGGGAGGTCAGGCATCGGCGTGCACAGCTGAGTTGTGGCTGTGCCTTTTTCGCATCCTTTCTCCAGAAAGGGCGGCCATAAGACCATGAGAGAGCTGCTGGGCAAAAACAATAAATGCCGACGCTGGTGTTCTCCTAATCTCCATGGCAGTGCCTGAAGTAATATTGGCCTTGAAGGACTTCGTGGAACTGGTTTTCTTTGACTCATCATTCTTTAGTGATTGCAGGACTTGGGAATGGGCTCTGGAAGAGAATCCCTCCTCACAAGGACAAGAGGAGCCATGTGTTGGCTTCCTTATTTGTTCTCTCAATGTTTCCCCTGGTCTGCTTGCTAGAGGGAATGCTACTTTGCCTCCTAACTTTTGAGGAGAGCTAAAATGGACTCCCCACTGATACGCAGGGACTAATAACAGTGTCCATGATGGAGTAGGAAGCAAGTGTGTGAGGAAGTCTTAGTAGGTGTGACAGTCGATGGACGCCCAAGGGTCAGGGCAGGGCCCGTCTTTTGTTAAGTCAGCTGATAAATGGCGGCTAGGAGAGGTGGGGGAGAAGCCTGTCCTGGTCTGCTTTCGGGCTGCTTCACCCGCATGCTGTGAATTACAGTGAGTTGGCCCCTTGGATGACTCTCCCTGCCTTGAGATGGCCCGCCTTCTTCTCTATACTGACTGTGTGAGTTTTGCCCACTGTCTGTCTTGGTCTCGAGGGACACTGGTGTAATCTGATACCCTGCAGGTTTTGCTCTTTGCTCTCCCTCAGTATGCCATCCTACACCCTTTGGTTACCTATCAAGATCTTTCTTGTATCACCGTCTCCAAAATGTCTAGGTGCGGCCTAGATCAGAAGTAATCACTCCCTTCCCTGGGTTTTCACATACATCTTATTCTGACTCTCATGTTTCTACTTTTGTTATTTCTCCTGCTCTTACTCTGTCATGCAATGAACACGTGACATAGTCTGTGCAAGACACTATGCTTTTTCATGATCATTTAACTGCCTTCTTATGTAACCCTATGAAGTCAGTGTCTTTGCCTGTAAAGCAATGTAAGTGTAGAGAAGAGAGGTGACATACTCTAAGCTTTTGTGGCTACTGAGATTCTGAAAGGAGGCTGTTGTCCTTACCCAGTATGCTACACCACTTGTCCTATTCATGGCATATGTAGCACTCAGGCCCCATATGATGGAGATGCTTCCCTACTTCCTCATGAGAATGTAAGCTTTGTTTCCCCATTTAAGCAACAAGGCATGGTTTCTCACTCGTCCTTATGTTCCTCTTGGCTCTTATTATGCTACTGTGTTTTTAGTAGGAATGGTTGTGTATGGTCAAATGTATGTCTGTATGTTCTTATGTATGTATATATTTGGATGGATGGCGGATGGCTGGATGGGTGAATACAGCACTTAGTAATCCTTTTCTTACAATAAACAGTTTGGAATATAGCATCCTCATTTGAAACAAGTCAGTCTAATTTAATTTCTGAAGTCTAGATTCTTTCTTGCAATTCTGCCAATCTTTCTCTGTTTTAATATAACCTGTTTTGAATATGTGAAGGGAAAAAATTCCCTTGCATATATACATGTTAAGGACAAATATGGGGAAAGGTTTATGGATATTCAGACTTCTTTTTTAAGTGAAGCTACATCTCTTCATCTGCTATGTATTATGACTTGATGTTTGTTAGCAGCCTAAGATTCGCTTTACTTTATATTTAATTTAAATGTTAGTGCATTCTCTGTGTTACTCTAAACATTTTCATAATTCATGTTATTTTTGTTTAAATTTTTATGCATTTTTAAAGTTTATATCCATTTTCTTTTTCCTTTTGGTCCATTTAGAGCATTCTATGCCATTAGTGGAATCCCCAGATAGTAGGTGCCGCAGATTTTATTTACGGGGGAATTGATGCCAGGGTCTTGTGCCTCAGCTTGTGCTGCTCTTTGCCTTCAGTATACGCTCTCCTGAATTTCTATCCCATCAAGTCTTTTCATTCATAGCTTAATTCAGAGCTTGGCCTCCAGGAATCTTAATTGAAAAGACAGAAAGTTAGAACTAATTCAAGCCATCCAGTCCACCTTTTCCCAGTGTAAACATGAGAGCTGCAGCGTAGACAGTATATGTTATTTGCTCAGAGATGCACATCCTGCTCAGGGCCGAGTTGGCACGAGACCTCAAGTCCCCTCTGTTTGAGCCCACAGTCCTCCAGGACTTTGTATGGTATTCTAGTGAGGACTCTTTTTCACTACGCCATAACTTCTCTGTGCAATTCCTGCAATTCTTAATCACACTGTGTCTTCCAGTAGGCTTGTGTATGTGCCTATCTCCTTCAGCAATTTCAGGACTTTCAGATGCAGGGGCTGTCTGACTCATGCCTTCACTCCCCACAGCACCTAGCAGGATTCCTGACACACAGCAGGTACTCCATAATGTCTAAGGTAATACTTAAGCCACAGCAATAGAGACCTGCTTATTCAGGCACAGGTTTAGCTTCTCAACTACTTACTAGGCTCGATGACTCTGCAGCTCAGCCTACATGTTTGCATCACTTTTACCCTCCTATACCCTTGGCTTGAGCTTTTTTAGCCCAGGATTTTCTTAAACCGTTGCTACCTTGAAGTTACCGATTACATTTCTCACCTTGGTATTATGTCTGTCATCTCTGGAGTTTGCTTTCTCATTTTTAAAATTCTGACTGTGAAAGTGGAAAAGTACCCACATGTTTTTCACATCAACTTATATTTATGTGATACTGTATGTTATAGTTTTATTTTATAAAGTATTCTGCTAATGATCTCTCTCTAAAGGGCTTTGGTACACTTAAAAGTGGGCGTGCTTTTTCTCCCAGCTAGTAGATTTTAGGGCCTTAGGGTCCTTTTATTTTACTACCATTGTTCTCATATTTTCATTGTTTTTGTTTGTTTGTTTGTTTGTTGTTGTTGTTTGTTTGTTTTTTAACCACTTGTGTTCCCTTACCTGTTTGGAATGCTTCTCTATGTCCAAATGCCTTTGTGTGTCCTGTACTATGTGCTTGTAAGCCCACATATATCTTTTATTTAGTTTTGTGTTTTTCCAAATTTTACCATGCTAAGTGTGTATGCCATTTTTGTGGAATGATTTTGGTATGTATTCATGCTTTTGTGTCATCACCTTCTATTCTAGACTGATGAGGGCAGTGAGATGATGTGATTTTCCTTCTGATCTTTAAAGTACTAGCTGGTACTTCATCCTGTAATCTGGGTCCCCTCCTCTCTGCTTCAAATTTGCAAAGAAAACAGAACAAAGCCTTAGTCTTTGATAGTAGAACAGGGTATAGATGTTTCTTTTTCTGTTCTTGGTAGATACCAAAATAAGTGAGATTTCCTACTTTACAAATACATTATTTTCTTGAGATGATTCTGAAATTTACCTGTTATTACCACTCTGAGAGTTGGAAATTTTCCCTCTCTCCTCTCCCTTTCTCAGTAGAGATTTTATATTAGATCATAATTTATCCATTATTACAATAGATTATCATACAGAATGATTTGTAAAGTGTGCAAGTTTGTAAACTTGGAGTTTTCTTGTGACCTGGAATTGACTTTCTCCAATCTCTGAAGTATTTTTTACACTTTTGTGTAAGATTTTTTAAAAAGTGAATCCATAAGGTACACATTCAAGGTGACATTTTCAGTAGAATCTCTTTATATTTGAACAATTTTTTATAGTTTATACAGCACTTTCACATTCACATCTCAAAAGATAATTCTTACTTGTAGCTCTCTGAGGTTAGTGGAACAGATGCTATTGCCATTTTATTGAGTGGTATCCTACCAGAAGTGAAATAATTTATTGAATAATCATGTATCTAGTAAAATATTAGAGCTCGGCTCTGCACTTCATATCTAGAGCTCTTGCTGATTTTAAAGGGTTCTATTTATTGGAGATTTGGCTAGACACCCTCACCTATTCTACCTCCATTAT